AAAATTCTAGAATTCTCATTATTGAGAGTATCAACCCGCTGAACAGGATCGATGATGTTTGATTGAAGGGATCAGTGTAGATTGAGCACTCTCAGAAATCCACATGTCATTAAACATATAAACAATATTTCTCCCATTTTCAATCCTACCTTCAAGTAGAATATGTTTTACTCTTTTATTCATCAATTGACCACTAAACACTCATCCATTCATAGTCCAAGGCCATGAGCTAGCTCAGGCCTAGGTATGATAAAGAAAATATAGAATGATTGTGGTTGAACCCTCTGGTACTGCTTGGCCCAAACTCTCAACTAGAAGGAAGTCTTGGTTCCTCCGCCCAATTGCTGGACGTAAACACGTAACTTGCAACATGTCAATATCTAATCTCCTAGAGATATTGAGCGCAGAAATCCCATCACATATATTGCTTTATTCCCAAAAATTGCAACACCACAAACTCTATATACAAATTACATGACAGGATGCATAAGCTACGTCGCAAAATATGAAAGCCTATTAACTCGCACAAAACCTCCAACCACAGCAAAAAAAAATTAAACAGAACATGTTCGTATCCAGTGCTACCTAGTTAGCGTAGTAGCCAAACCAAGTACTCAAAATTCAAACTAAGCAGCAAGTTCGCGAGTGGACTGGCACCAACGATCGTAAGAAACTTGCAGGTTAGGCCAGTCCGAGGCCGTAACCGTGTAGTCATGGATCCAGTTGGTGAGGATGACTTCCTGATCCATCCCAGGTAGAGTCGCCATCACGTCGTCGATCGCCCTCTCCACTCCCACCTTCTCGATGCTCGTCAGCACCGGGTACGTGAGCCCGTTGTTCGCGTGGCACAGCACCGGCAGCCACACCACGAGCAGCCGCGACTTCACCTGCCCCGGCACCTGCACCTTCTCCCCTCGATCCCCGCCCATCTCTCCGATCAGTATGGCTGCACAAACCATCAGATTAACTTATCAGTCATAATAGCGGTGGACCCCAAGAGCAATACCTATCGTACCCTCTTCAAATTCTACTAATTCACCTGTCACGACTTGGAAAATTTTCCAATATTGAACTTCACATATAATTAGCATAGTTCCGAATCGAAACAAAGATATTTCGTCCTTAAGATCATAAATATGAGCAATGCCATCACCTACTTGAAGTAAAGTGCGCGGTGTTTACAATCACGACTTCCTATTATATTGTTCAATATATGGTCACGGTCCAAAACCAATTGTGTAACTAATTTAACTAACGTGATGTCACACGTTACCTGTTGTCTTGACAATGAGGCCCTGGACCCTAGCGTCGATGGCCAGAGCCATCGACGCGAGCCCCGACGCGTGGCTCCACTGCACCACGGCCTCCTCGACCAGACCGTAGTTCCGCAGCTTGTTGGTCAGCCACACCAGCTCCTCGGCCAGCTTCTCCGACACCACGTCGTCCCCCGCGTCCCCGCCCTGCAGCAGCAGCTGATTCTTGTTGTTGCCGCCGCGCCAGACGCCGCTGCTGGCTATCTGGAGGACGGTGGTGAGGCAGTAGTTCAGCCCCCTGACGTAGGACAGGGCGTAGGACCCGAATGGCAGCGACCGGATGGCCCGGGTGGTCCACGAGGCCGTCGAGTCCGGGTGGCTCGGCGACGACATGGACCGCCGCTGGAGCGAGCGGTAGAGCAGGGCCAAAGTCCGCGCGTAGGCCGACGAGAGGGCGAACCGGTTGATCTCCTGGAGCTCCGGGTGGCCGTCCTTGAAGTTCCCGTCCATGATCCTGTCCGCCATTGCCATGGCGAACTGGTACTTCCCGGAGCTCGCCGGGATCTCGTTCAGCAGCGCCAGAATCTGTCCCATGGCAACGAACAAAACTCGATGAAGTAAAATTCAACAACCACCACTAACCATAAACGTGCACATTCTTTTTATTTTATTTTTACTGTACTGTTAAAAATGACACGTGCTTAATTAAGTAGCCCCATAGAGTAACGGTGGAAGTGTCAGTGGAGTTATTTATCATGACGTGTCACATTCTATCCATGCAAAAGCAGGGACATATTTGCTCCACATGTTTCCACATATACCTACGTGGCAACTTTCCATGCCACCGCAACATAAGCAGACACCTGCCTGCCACGTCACATTCTCACCATTTTTTTTTTCTCCAAAATAAATCCTGACCGGACACCAAATTTACAAAAACGGCAGTAACAAAGCTTACGTGGGTGAGGGATCGTCCGAGGGCGTGGAGAGACCCGACGTCGTCCTCATAATCATCCTGCTGCAGGACCAAATCCATGGGCGACGACGAGGCGGCCGCGGCGGGCACGAGAGCACCGGCCTCCGATTTCGCGGAGGAGTAGGGGAACGACACGTGGGTGGAGGGAGGGTTGAACGACGTCGTTTTGGAGGAGGAGAACCCGGAGGGCGCGGGGAGGGCGAGCTTGAGAGGCGAGAAGGCAGCGGAAAGGAGGTGGTGAGGCGACCAAGTCATGGGAACGGGGAAGAAGTCCATGAGCACCCTCATGACCCAGACGGTGAGCCACGTCATGAGCATGACCATGAACCTGAGGTGGTCGCCGGGCTTCCACCGCTCGCTGTGCTCCGGCTGGACGTTGGCCGCCACGTTGACCAGCGTCCGCGACGCCACGTTCACCGTCGACATGAAGAGCGTGTTGAGGAGCTGCGACGGCCTGTTGCTCTTGTACGCGTACTCCATCTCCAGCCCCTTCAGCACCCCGGCCGCCATAGTTCAATCGAATTCGATCGGTCAATTAACTAGAGATAATAATAAGGAACTTAATGATGATACTAAGGCGATATTGTTATTATTTTGGTACAGCTTTTTTCTGTTGCGGGATTGGGATGTATGTTTGGTTTCCGCCTTGAAGTGCGTTATATATAGGGAAGGGAGCTGAGTCGGTTAAGTGACGTTGTGACAGCTTGGAGCCAAGGAGATAAAGGGGAGTCGGTTTTGGAGGGCTTTTGTCGTTTTAGCGACGGGGCGCGGATAATATGGGAAGAGCGGAAGATTTGACTTAATGGTGGGGGTTTTGTGTGACGATGTTTAGGGTTCTTTTGAAGATCATGAGTCACCAATTACAGGCACATCGTGGCGCCTGCTCCTTACTGTGTGTATTTTGGACCGGCGGCGGTTACTTCATCCGGTTGTTCTCGTTGCTCATCATGGTATATCCATACAAACAAACACTATTAAATACGAACTAAGATATATGCGCAATAACGAGAAATCTTGATGTATACGTTAACTATTCGTAACTTATATAATTAGATAATTACTTTTACATAAATTTTTGGCGTAAGATTGGAATTTTTGGTTTGGTGTGGTGTGGTTTATGTTTTGATATGGGTAAATGACACATTTGGTCACTGAGATTATTAAATTGTGTCATGTTTAGTCACTAGAAAAAATTAATATCAATTTTGGTCACTCGAATTATCGAAACTGGTCAAATTTAGTCACTCTCCCGTCAGTTTCCGTCCAACTCCACTAATGTAGTTGGACGGAAACTTTTGGGAGAGTGACTAAATGTGACATGTTTCAGTAATACGAGTGACTAAATGTGACATTTTTCAATAATTCGAGTGACCGGAGTTGGACAGAGGATACAGAAGAGTGACCAAATGTGACCTGTGTCAGTAATTCGAGTGACCAAAATTGATATTAAATTTTTCTAGTGACTAAATATGACACGATTTAGTAATCTCAGTGACCAAATGTGTCATTTACCCGTTTTGATATTATGACTAGATTATCTTTTTTAGATGCCCAAAATACAAGTATGAAACTTTAATGGAATGGAAAGAGTTTTTCTGAACTGATAAATTGGGAAAGGGCTTACGAAGCAAAAAAAGAAAAATCAGAAGAGTTGAATGAAGTTGCTCGACTGACAGGAAGATGAATAAATTCTATTGATAGTCCTCCTCTTTTTCAGAGTATGATGAATGTGGTGTTTTCATCCCTAATTATCCAAGTCAACCTGTCATTATTAAATTGAAGAAGACACATTAATTATCATGGGTTGTCAAGAACCAGTTGATCCCAATAACTCGAGTTGTTGGGAGAAGGTTCTGCTGGATCTTATACCACTCTCTAACACGCCCCCTCAAACGAAAGCCAACCCATGGGCTTGAAGTTTGCACAGGCCCACCATACCATGTGCTTGAAAGACAACGGTTAATATTGGGGGTCGTGGAGATTCGAACACATGACCTTTCGGTTCTAGGCTCTGATACCATGTCAAGAACCAGTTGATCCCAATAACTCGAGTTGTTGGGAGAAGGTTCTGCTGGATCTTATACCACTCTCTAACATGGGTTGACCGTATTATGCACCATTCATGTTTTATATACGATTTTCAAATAAATTATCATGGTTGATGCTCGAAGAGCCTTGCAGATTTTTGTAGTTTGTTGTTATGTATGTAAGTAGTTAATAGTTATAATTTGAGGGTGAGTAATGAGTTGTTGTGGACCAGTTAGATCAAAGGGTTTTTTCTTGAAGCGATTGGAGATTCGTTAATGAGAGAATGATCATGTTTTATGAGATCGAGCATCGAAAAATATTGAATATTATGTTGTCGTGAAGAGATCGAATTGAGTTGTAAATAGAGTGTCAGATAGACATTATACAATATAATGTTTTTCAAAATCTTTTCCTTACTGATTTTTTGCCCAAAATTTTGGGTAAAATTGTGGTACTTTATATATTAACTTTTTCCTACTTATTAAATCTATACAAAAATATATAATACGTAATAATAAGTTCTTCTACCATATCTGGATGGGCCCAATTAGCCTACTGCTGTGCTACTACACATTATGAGGGTAAGAAATCAAAGTTTATGGGCCCAACACGATGCAGCCCACGATAACAATACGGTAAAGTCCGAAGTTCTGGGCTCTGGGAACTCGCGATTGCGGGAACCGCCCTTAGACGACGGAGGAACTCTGGCTCCGATGCGATGAACTGATGAAACTGTCAGAGAAATGAAGGCTTTCTGCCTCCTCCGGAACCGATTGAAACCATTCCCTATCAATAACAATGTCTTCCGGAGGTGCTTCTCTCCGCTTCCCATCTACACCAACACCAACCTCGCCCATCAGCTCCATTTCATCTTCACCAAGCGCCCTGCTACTTCCCCCGACGATCCCGACCTCCGGGCACTTTCCCCCTTCCTCAACCCCAAGCTCGTCGAAACCGTCTTGTATTCTTTCCAAAGCTGGAAACTTGCTCACTTCTTCTTCACATGGGCATCCAACCAGCAAGGATACCGCCACAATGCCTACACTTTCAATGCCATAGCGTCCATCCTATCACGTGCTCGACAAAATGCCCCACTGAGAGCACTGTCCGAACAAATCCTCCGTTCCCGGTGTCCCATGACCCCTGGGGCTCTGGGTTTCTTCATTCGCTGCTTGGGCTGTGCTGGGCTTGTGGAGGAAGCCAATTCCTTGTTTGACCAAGTTCAAAGCGAGGGTCTTTGCTTCCCCAATGTCTACGCTTACAATTGCTTGCTTGAGGCTGTATCTAAGTCGAACTGTGTGGATTTGGTTGATGCCAGGTTGAAGGAGATGTCCGACCGTGGCTTTGTGTTCGACAAGTATACTCTGACTCCAGTCCTGCAGGTTTATTGTAATGCCGGGAGATTCGATAAGGCATTTGATGTCTTCAATATGATTTCCGATCGTGGATTTCTGGATGGGTACTTGTTCTCCATATTGGCGTTGGCTTTTACAAAATGGGGCCAGGTGGACAAGGCATTTGAGTTGATTGAGGTTATGGAAGCTCGAAATGTTGACTTCACCGAGAAGACTTTTATCGTCTTGATTCATGGTTTCCTGAAGCAGTCCAGACTGGACAGGGCTCTCCAGTTATTTGATAAGATGAAGAATTCCGGATTTGTGCCTGATATTTCTCTCTACGATGTTCTAATTGGAGTGTTCAGCACTGCAAAAAAACTGGACAAAGCTTTAGGTTTGTATGCTGAGATGAAGGAGTTCAACGTCCAACCGGATACTGGCATAATCACAAAGCTTATATCTTGTTGCAATGATGAAGGTGAACTAAAGCGCCTTTTTAAGGAAATTGGGAGGGATATGAATCTGGAAGCTTTGACTATGCTCTACAATTCTTTGTTGACTGTTCTTGTTAATAATGATTCGATAGACAAAGCCTACAGCCTTCTTCGAGTGATGCTTGGAGAAAGCTGCAGCAATGATCTCCAGGGGGATGAGTTCTGCTGGGAAAATGACATCGTCCCGTCACCTAATGCTTCTAGTTTTGGAGTTGTTATCGATGGGTTGTGCAAGGCTGGTAAGCTGGACTTGGCAGTTGGCCTCTTTCGAGATATGTCTCAGAAGATCGGCTGTAAACCAAACCTATTGATCTGCAACAACTTGATCTCTGGCTTGTGCAGTTCTCATAGGATGGAGGATAGTTTAGAAATTCTGAGAGAGATGGAGAAATCAGGATTGGTGCCCTCACCATTTACTCATAACGCCATATTCGGGTGCCTATGCAAGAGAATGGACGTTGCAGGAGCTCTTGATCTGATAAAAAAGATGCGAGTTCATGGCCATGAGCCCTGGATAAAACACTGTACCTTGATGGTGAAGGAACTCTGCAAGCACAAGAAGGCAGTAGAAGCTTGCAAGTTCCTCGACGACGTGGTTGAGGAAGGTTTCATACCTGATATGATCGCTTACTCAGCCGCATTTGACGGATTGATCAGGATTCACGAGGTGGATCTGGCTATGGAGCTGTTTCGAGACATTGTTGCTCGAGGTAACTACCCTGATGTGGTTGCTTACAACACGATGATGAAAGGGCTTTGTCAGGCCAAGAGAGTTGCTGAAGCCGAGGAACTTCTGAAGGAGATGGTGATGAAGGGGCTGGTTCCATCAGTGGTAACCTACAACTCGCTCATAGATGGGTGGTGCAAGAACGGTTCTCTCGAGGCAGCCATGCGCTGCCTATCTGAAATGTTTGATAAAGGGAGGGAGCCGAACGTGATCACTTATACCACTCTCGTGAATGGACTGTGCAACTCTGGAAGGCCGGAGGAAGCTCTCATGGTGTGGAACGAAATGGTGGCCGAGAAGGGCTTGGCTCCTGGCGAGATCGCTTTCATGGCTCTCGTTCATGGCCTCTGCAAGTGTGGAAGACCCAACGAGGCTGTGGTGCATTTGCGAGAGATGAAATCGAGAGAGATGAAACCAGATGGTTATGTATACACGGCTTTGGTAAGCGCTTTCCTCGCTCAACTAAACCATCCCTTGGCTCTGGAAATGGTAGAAGAGATGGTTCGTGAGGGAAGGTTCCCGGGTAAGCTTGACAAGAACCACGCAATTGCTGGAGATGCTGTTATCGAGCTGTTGAGAGACAGCAGGACTTCTTCGAGTATTAGAGATCTCATAGCTGAAGGCAATATTCCTTCAATTAGTATGTCAGACGTCGAAAGTGAAAGTTTGGATGGGTGCATTACTTGATCATCTTCCATCATATTTGCCTAATTGAAATGTGTATCCATTGTGGTTACGCATGTTAGAGCTATCGACCATTCGGTCGAGGAACTTAGGATATTACTCATACACAGAAGGAACAAGTCTTCTATTGCTTTATGAAATCTCTTGATACTTGATAGCTTTCTTATAGTCACCTCTTGTGGTTTCCTCTCACGGGCAGAGTGCTAGCTCATGTTTCATGATTCGAGCTCCATAGTGGTGGTCTGGTGGAGACATTTTGTTAGCTCTTGTCTGATTCTTTGTGGCAGGTACCTCTCCCTCATATTATTTACAAAAATGTCGCTGCATTTTTGAGCGACTAGAAATACTTGGTAAGATTATCCACATATTTTCAGGCAAGGAAGAGGTGCGGAGAAACGACCAGGGGAGGAGGGGTTGAAAAAGACAGGCGGAAACGGAAACGGGTGACCCGAATCTGACGTGGGAAATGGCTGGCCAGGCAAATCTTATTCCTTCCTTGAACTCCGTTATATTTTAACAGTCGTCTAATCCAACTCACTCTGCCTCCATCTCTGGTTTTTCTTTCTCCAGCTGGTAGTTCAATGGAAGCTCTCACTGCTTCCCACCACCACATCCCTCTTCCTCTCCTTCAATCGCCACCTCAAATTTCATCGACCCTTTCTTCTTCTAGTTACCGGAATCTGAGTTTTAGCGCCGCCAACAAGCCGTCGCGATCCTCCTCTTCATTCGGAACCGCTTCAATCCCCAGACTGGTGCGTCCTTCCACCTCCTATTCCAGCATCAGATGTGGTGCATCTTCTTCGTCTTCCGCAATTACCCAGATTACAGAAGCCGAGTTCCCGTCCGTTGTACTCAGCTCCGACCGGCCCGTCCTCGTCGAGTTCATTGCCAGTTGGTGCGGCCCTTGTCGCCTGATCTCTCCCGCCATGGAGTGGCTAGCCAAGGTCTTCTTCTATTCTATTGTCTCTCCTTAGTCCTTGCACAGAACTGTGGAAAATTGGGACCTCTAGTTGATTAGGGTTCAGCAGCGGTCCTAGCCCTAGGGACTATTGGGAATGTTTCATGAACTGCCGCTAGGCGCTAATGCATTCTCTTGCAATAGCAAAAGATATGAAATTGACGATTGTCTTGGTCTTTTATCTTCAGGAATATGCTGACAGATTGACCGTTGTGAAGATCGATCACGATGCCAATCCGAAGCTAATTGAAGAGTACAAAGTATATGGATTGCCCGCATTGATGCTCTTCAAGGATGGACAGGAAGTTTCCGGGAGCCGGAGGGAAGGTGCTATTACGAAGGCGAAGCTCAAAGTGTATGTTGATTCACTCTTGGACTCCATCTCAGTTGCATAGTAACTTACAGCTATTAGCAAGTAGTAGCATATGTTGAAAACCGTCCTTCCCGCCGGTCACCGGTAGGAGGAATTTTTGCTGCATTTGGCTGTGTACTAATGTCATATATGAACACTTAACTCTCCATTGGGAGATATGCTCTATTATTTGTTGTGGTCTTGTGTATGTATAGCTATTGTGGCAAAATACCACTGCAATTGAACGAAGAGGAAACCCCTTGTTGAATGGGTTGTGGCTTCCATAATCTTGAATGTAAAGTTTGTTACTTTTCGGCAGTGATATGCTTGGCCTTGATGTTCTTTGTTTGGAAACATTTCTTGGGAACTTTTTTTTTAAGCTGGTCTGCAGGGCAGTGTCTATGGCGGAACAGAGACAGAGACAGAGACAGAGTAACAATCTAATGCTTGCTTGGTCTTTGTTAAGAAAGGGGGAAAAACTCAGGTTTCCAAAATCGCCTAACAGAATTCAAGGGTTATTGTTGAAACAAGAAGTAGCTCCCAACTAAAACAACTCTCACCTACAAATACTACTCCTGCCTTTGCTCTGCTCTGCTCACTCGTCTCTGTTTTGTTTTTCCTTCCTCTATGCCCTTTCTTTTTCCTTCTTTCTTTGGTGTCCTTATTTGAAAACAAAGCCTGAACCCATAATGTGCTAGTCCTATGTGCTTCATCTTCAAGCCTCCATATCCTTGATCTTGGTACTGCTGGCGGTGCCAATCACAGCATCGTCCGGGATATACTGTCCCCAGAACCAGTGCTTCCTCCATACATTGTTCATCTCTTCAATGGGGACGTTCTTGGTCTCCGGTAGGAAGAAGTAGATGAAGAGCGTCATCACCACCACCCAGCAGGCGAAGAAGAGGAAAAGCCCGAACTTCATGTGGCAGAGCATGGTGAGGAAGAACTGGCCGATGATGAACGTGAAGGCCATGTTCACAGCCACATTGATGGCCTGTCCCGCTGATCGGATCTCCAGAGGGCAGATCTCGCTCGGCACCAGCCACCCCAACGGCCCCCATGACCACGCAAATGCCGCCACATAGAAGCAGATCAGGATCAGCACGAGCAGCGAGTCGGCTTTAGACATCACCCCAACTCCTGCAGACCCAAATGCCTTCGCGATCATCACTGCAACAAGCACCTGCAGCGCGCACAGACACACATACACGCACAAGAAAGTTGTCAAGAGAGAAACGTCCTAATGGTAAGAGTAGACATTGAAAATGTTTAAATTTTGTCACGCCCTCTTCCAGCCTTACCTGACTAACAATCATTTGAATGCCTCCTTCCAGGAACAGAGCCCTTCTCCCCAACCTATCCACCGCCAAGATCGAAATGAAGGTCGCAAAGACATTGACAAGGCCAGTGATGACAGCAGACATGAGGGAAGCATCGTCACCGAATCCCAGAGTCTTGAACAGGACTGGTGCGTAGAACATGATCACATTGATCCCAGTGAACTGCTGGAAGAAAGGCACAAGGAAGCAGATAGCCAAATGAGGCCTGTACTCCGGCTTCAAGATGGTCGACCACTGGCCATCCACTCTCATTGCAGCATGGGTCGCGTCGATCAGGTCCTGGAACTCCTCGTCGACATTGTCAGTGCCGCGGATCTTCTTCAACATCTCCCTCGCCTTCTCCGTGTTGCCCCGTGCCAGGATCGAGTTCGGGGTGTCCGGCAGAAAGATGGACCCCACGGTGATCATGATGGCAGGAACCGCAGCGAGCCCCAAGGATGCTCTCCATCCCCAGTCCTTGGAAGCAAATGTAAAGTTGATCAAACCTGCGACCAAGATGCCGATGGTGATCGCCATCTGGAACCCGATGTTGAGAGCTCCCCTGAGCTGGGAAGGCGCCATCTCGGACAGATAGAGCGGGACAGACTGGTTGGCGAACCCGACCCCAACACCGAGAAGCAGGCGACCGACGATGAGCATCGCCACGTCGACTGCTACACCGTTGAGGATCGCTCCGGCGAGGAACACGATGCCTCCGAACAGCATCGAGATCTTTCGGCCGAAAACCTTGGTGACATAGGCTGCGACCGCGGAGGCGAACAGGGCGGCGAGGTAGAGGGATGAGGTGAACAATGTGAGGAGATGGCTGTCGAATTTGCAGTACATGCTCTCGTGGTGGCCTTCTTTTTCCTTCCTGTACACGGAAGGGAAGAACTTGCTCAAGAACGAATCCATGGAGGTGACACCACCCGAGATCCCGATGTCGTACCCGAAGATCAGACCTCCACATGCTGCAACTATGCAGGCGATGAGCACGAACCCGGTGACGCGGCCTTGGAACTGCTTTGTTCCGCTATCGGGGACATAGCCACCTCCAGCCATTTCGGAAACCCACCTCCTGTTTTCAAGCTTTCTTTCTGGTTTCTTTACTACTTTCTGGTCTCGGTTAAATCACCTAATTATTTATCTACGCAGGATGCTAATGATCTACTGCGACAGAACACACAACCAGGAGAGGATGGTCGTGGGGGAGTTGGGGACTTATTACTTATTAACCCAAATGATAGTTTTTGTGCTGATTAGAGCAGTGAGAGGAGATCGGCGTGTTTATATGATGCAGGAAGCCATGAAAGTAGGCAACTGCATGGTGATGATTTAGTATAGCGCTGAAAGTCAGTGAAGGTTTTGGTATTGGTGTTGAGTTTTGTCTTAAATCTGCTGTTGGTCTTCGTTCAAATTGGTCCTTAAATAGTCTTCTTTCTTTGCTATTTTGTCCCTGCAAATTTGGATTTTCTAAATAAATAAATCAATGTATATTTACTAATTAAAAATGTAATGAACAATCAGGATGATATTATTTTTCTGCTGCTTTGTGCTTAATTGGAGAGATTGTGCATTTGAAGCATTTCCATTGAGCCCACACAAGGAGCTCTATATTTGGATTTACTTTTACCATATATTGATCCTCTTGTCCTTTGTTGTTAGCTAACTAACTAACTACTATGGTCTATCGATGATGAACTTAAACCACTTGGATTTAAGCTTGAAAAGTTTGACATATGATGCATTGGGGGAGATTTTGGATTGTTGAAATTGTAAATAGATAGATTGTTAAGTGGACTGTGAATGTATCCTAACAAATGATGTATTGGGATCGTATGTGGTCGATTGTGAATATGTTAATATTTGGATGAATGTTCGTAACAAGTGGACGTAAGTGGCGAAAATCTTAAGCGATCATGGACAAAAAGAATATGGAGAGTGAATTGGAGGAGGACAGACAATCATCTTTTCACTTAAGGAAGTGGAACTCGACTCTCGAGCATGAGAAGTCAAAAGCGATCCTCATAGTCGGAGTCACCTACACTTGAGGTTTATGAAATGGAACACACCTACTTAGCTAAGATTGATGGTTATGGACCTATGGTTGCGTCACAAGTTAGAGGCAACAAACCCACTCGCAAATTCAACTACACGTTTATAATACTCCAATAATTCGCAATTTCCCCAATTAATCCAGTTCATATTCGGCTTATTACGGCCGGCCGCGCAGATAGAGAGAGAAAAGTCTCCCCTTCTTCTTCGTCCTGTCTTCCTCTCTCCCCCGATGTCTTCCGCAGGAAATCCAACCGGCGGAGGTGGCGCCGCCGCCACAGCTCGCCCTCCTCCCGCCTCCGTACCAAAAGCTTTCTTCTGCTACCAATGCAATCGCACGGTCACCATATCCGTCTCCCCGACTTCCGATCCCCTATGCCCTTCCTGCAACGAAGGTTTCTTAGAGGAGGCTGAAAACCCTAACCCCGGTCCAAATCTCCCCTCCGCCGCAGCAGCCGACCCCTTCGGCGATGCCTTCTTCCCTCCCATGAGCCCCTTCTCCCTCCTCCCTCTACTCTTCTCCTCCTCCTCCGCCCACGGTGGCTCCGCGACCTTCGAATTCCAAAACCCTAACATCTTCGGCGCCCAGCGATCGCCCTCCGATCAGGCCGAATTCAACCCCCACGATTTCCTCCGCAACTACCTCAACAACCTCCACAACGACGGCGCCAGAATTCAGTTCTTCATGGACAACAATCCTCCCGCTGGCAACCTCGGCGATTACTTCATCGGCCCGGGACTCGAGCAATTGATCCAGCAGCTGGCAGAGAACGACCCCAACCGCTACGGAACTCCTCCTGCTGCGAAATCAGCAATCGACGCCCTCCCTACCGTCAAGATCACCGGCGAGGCCCAGAGTTCTGAGATGAATCAATGTGCTGTCTGCAAGGATGAGTTCGAGACGGGTGATGAGGCGAAACAGATGCCTTGTAAGCATGTCTATCATCCTGATTGCATTGTCCCCTGGCTTGAATTGCACAATTCATGCCCAGTTTGCCGCTACGAGTTGCCCACGGATGATTCCGAGTACGAGACCAGGAGGCGCAACGGTGACCAAGGGGGCAACACCCAGAGCCCCGATGCTGGAGGTCGGACGGAGAGAAGGTTTAGCATTCAGTTGCCGTGGCCGTTCGGCAGACAAGGTGGTTCCAGCAGCGATGGGGGAGCTGGTGGCGGCCAAAGTAGTGCCTGATTTCCAATTGGGTTAGTTGTTTATTTTCCTGTTATCTTTTCTTTCATTCATTGTCTAAAGATTGACCATAGAAACATTGCGATTCCTCTGTATAGTTTGAATCTTTGGGATTTTTATTCCTAATTGTTGAGCTGAATCAATTACCTTAAGCCTGTTCATCTTGATATTCGTTACTTAATGAGGTCCCGGAGTATGATTGGAGGAGAAGTATCAGCTTTAAAATTGAGGGTATAATGTGGTTAACGTATGTTGCTCTTCAATTGATGGTTCATTGTTCTCGAGTGTTCTGAAGATTTTCCATACCAAGTTGCAAAATTGAGATGCTTTGGAATTTGTCATTATGCCCACCCTCCCGTTGAGGCAAGAATACATGTTTACCTAGGAACCCAACCATTATAACTTTTCTGTCAACTTCTGGGTAGATGTTACTCTTTCATATGCAAGTCTTAGATGTTGTTGAGGTGCCCTGATTTCGTTATTCTATGCTAGCTTGGCCCTTATGTATGTTTCTCGACGGCTTTTTAATGAATATTAAGAATGCTGGTTGATGTAAGTTGAGCAAAGTGGAACTTGTGGAGACATTACCTGGTGACTTTCCAATCTTTTACTATAGATAGTGACAGTGGCATTCTATTGGGAGTATGATGTAGCACAGGTGGGTTGCTTATGTTGTTTGGAGTGCTCTTATGATTTGGTTTGTTATTTACTTTCGTATATTATACTTCCCTGGACCAGACATTGGGATTAGTAGTTGCCAACTGGCCATTTGTTTCAAATTCTAGGTTTTGAGTAAGTGCAGGCTGCAGCTGTGCTCCCTTTTCCTGAGATTTCTGGACTGTGTCTGTGTGTCCATTCTGTTCTACTCTTCGTGATATCCTTTTCCACGTGCATTAGACGGTACTTTATGGTAGCGGTACATGGTCATTATTTGGTCTCTCCAAATGGGAGATTTTGTGAGTCATGGAAGTCGGATGGGGGTTTCTTGTTCTTTGTCGGGAGGAGAGGGGATTTCCGTTTTCAGTCAGCACTTGCCTAGGAAGTACACAATCGCAAGCTGTGTGTATCTTTAGCCTGATGGTGCAGAATTTCCTTCTGAAGTAGCTGGAAAGAATACATTGTGTCATCTAATGTCAGCGAATGCAACTCCAGTAAAGAGGCTAGGGTTTAAGTGTCTGAGATCAGACTTGTTGTTCTTAGGTTTGTTATACTTTCCTGGCCATTTAATTTGGAGTAATTGATCAAAATGGTCACACAGGTTTGATCAAGTAACAAAATGGCCACAAACGTTTGAAACGTAACAAAAAGGTCACGCAAGTATTATGTTATAACAAAACAACTATTCCATGTATTTTCATTTATATTTCCATCCAAAATGACTAGTTTGCTTGCTCTAAATAAGCGGTAATTTTACATGTTGGTTAGGTGGTTGATAATTTGTTATCAATTTTCCATGGTGTCATCAAAATATTCGATTATTATGGATGAAAACATGGCTAAAAATAGATGAAATGACTGTTTTGTTATATCATGATACGCATATGATCTTTTTGTTACGTTTTAAATGTTTGTGACCATTATATTACTGGTACAAACCTATTTGACCGCTTTGATTAATTACCTATTTAATTTGTTTTGTCTACCAAACTCCTTTTTCAGGTTAATGGAGAATGCTACTGAGCAGCAGCATAGAGCAGATGAAGGCATGAAGAACAGCTAGAGCTGCTGCTGAATGAAGAACATGAAGACCACTCTGATGCTTTGAGAAACGATAACGTTCTGCTTTAGTTCTGGAATTAGTAGAAGACCCAGAACGGTGACGTTTCCTTTGGTCGAGTGCAATTAGTTAGTAAATAGACAGATGTCGTTTTGTTAGTGGATAGTTTGATTTGTTAGTTAATAAGCACCGTAGATTAGCCGTTAACTCTGTTTCCTCTGTACATATATATATGGGAAATTCAGAAAATGAAGAACTCAGTTTTTGAGTCCTCTTCACCAAAAACCCTAGTAGATTTGATTTCTTCTTATGGTATCAGAGCCTGGTTCGCCAGGTCTGATTGTCATTTCTCTAATTCACTGAACTTTCTTTCTTCTACACTGATTTCTCTATAATGTCTGCTTCTTATGGGATTCTTGCTGATTATGTAGAAGAGACGGTCCCAGCAAACAATCAGACTTTACCTCACATGCCGCAACCCAGATCTCAGCAGCTCAACGCCTTTATTCCTCCATAGGTTCCTCAATATGAAGATCCTTACCTCAATCCCTACTACTTACCAGCACACGATGGGGGTTTGACAACCATCATCAGCATGAAACTCACCGACCAAAATTACAATCTATGGAGTCAGGTAATGGAACTGGCTCTTAGCACTAAGAATAAGCTTCAATTCGTGAATGGCATGATTCCAGTCCCAGAGATAGGAGATCCCATTTGGCAATCATGGCATAGGTGTGATAGCACAGTTAGGTGTTGGATCTACTATTCCCTTTCAGACGACATAGCCAACAGTGTTGTTCCCTATAAGGTTGCCAAGGATGTTTGGGACAATCTTAAGGATAGGTTCAGTCAAGCAGATAATATTAGAGTTTATGAGCTCAAGGAACAGATCTCCAAACTTGTTCAAGGAGATCTAACAGTGACTCAATATTATACTGTTTTGACAACCAAATGGCAAGAGTATAAGATGTATAGGCCAGTGTCATGTTGCCCATGTGCAAATAGCACTTTCTTCACTATCCAGAGGTATGGAGCACGATTTCATCATTAAGTTCATGCAGGGACTTAATGATTCTTATCAGTCAGCAAGAACTCAAGTTGTTATGAATGCTCAGTTGCCCAGCATTAAGTCTGTCTTCAAACAGATGGTTCAGCTAGAGAGACAGATGAAGGGACTTGGGACAAGTAAGGGGTCGTGTTGATTCCCTTGCTCTTCTAGCATCAGGTCAACCACCTAGACAACCTAGAAAAGGGCAAGGCACCCGCAATCCTAGGGAGTAGGGACTACACTACTGATGGGAAGAAATGGTGTAGGTACTGCAAGATGGAGTACCAGTGTACCACACTATACAGAATTGCATGAAACTGAAGAACAAGCTTGCTAAGGAAGGTGGGCAACCCTTTGCTGGTTCAGTGGAAACTGGTTTACATGACACTGGTGATTCTTATGATGGCTCCTCTAGAGCTAGTAGGACTGAGAAGGATTTGGATTTGGATCTGAGTTCACAGCTCACCTCAGACCAATTTGAGAAGCTAAAGGCTATGATCATCAGGTCACCTTCAACATCACCTTCTCCACCT